GAGAGAGAGAGAGAGAGAGAGAGAGAGAGAGAGAGAGAGAGAGAGAGAGAGCTTCTATGCATATATTGATCGATCTCTCTTCCCACTTCTGTCTCTATCACGCTTCTCCGGCAGACTCTCGCTCTCTCTCACTGTCCCTCTCCATCTCTCTCCCCCCTACTCTGTCTCTGTCGCAGTACTGCCTGCTATCGTTTTCTGCCTCCCGCTTCTTGCATCCGTCTCTCTCGCTTTCACATTCTACCCTGCCTTTTCTCTCTTCTCTCCCTGTCTCCCCCTCTTTTCCTCTCTCGAACACACACAAACACGCACACCCTGTCTTGCAGTTCTTCTCTTAAAATACGACGGGTGTTTCTGTCTAGTTCTTTCTCCACGTCCCTCGGTCTCCCCTCAGGTCTTGAAGCTCTCCTCTGTCTCCTTGCGGGATGCTCTCTCTTTCCCTCTCTCGCTCCCCTCCAGATATTATCCCATATTAGTTTATTTATTAATTCGTTTTCTTCAAATTCTTGCAATGTTTCAAGAATTCTTTGCTCATGTTTTTCCCGAGTTGTTTCTTTCCAAAATGGAGATTTCCACCTGTGTGCTGTTTCGTTGGCATTCCGTGCTACCCACGAGAACCAGTGACGTAAACTGTTATGGAATTCGGTGACGATAAGCCCTGTGAGTTCTCTATGCGTGTTCTATTCTGACGGGATAATATGCAGTCGTGACTGATCTTAATTTGGCCTACAAAAAGTGGCGGGCCAGGGAGTTGCCGGGGATAATTGGTAGAAAGAGCCCACGGCAAAACCTTTTCGGTTTTGGCCGCCCGAAGTTCGGCCGTGTGGTACTACCGGCCCAAACAACTTTCCCCTGGGTGAAAGTCCCCTGGGTGAAAGGCGCCTACGCGCCGTGGTCACATCTCCCGGTGCCTGTTTTTACAGGTTCAAGAATTTCGCACTGTTTCTGTGCCAGATTCATCACCCGGTAGGGCCCTTATTTTTCAAAATAGGTGGGCCTCATTCGATACTTCAGCGTTATCACCCCCCGGCTCTTTGACATCAAAATGAATCTGGCACTGTTATGCAATTCATTGGGCCGGTAGTACCCCAGATGCAAGTCATTGGGCCCTTGGAGCGACGCGTGGGCCTGTAGGACCCTTGGAGCGACGCGTGGGCCTGTAGGACCCTTGGAGCACGCGTGGGCCTGTAGTACACTTGGAGCGACGCGTGGGCCTGTAGTACCCCACATGCAAGTCATTGGGCCGGAAGTACCAAGCGGCTAAACTTTGGGCGGCGAAAACCGAAAAGGTTTTGGCATGGGCGCCTTCTACCGATTATCCCGAGTTGCCAAGCTTTGAAAGATCCTGACCAGGATCTATGAAAAGGTTCAGAGCACCTGAAGATAGCAGACGAGCATAATGAAATGACTGGGAAATGGGACTCCGCCGCAGCCAGGCAGGGAATTCGCAGTCTGCTGTGTGGGGCGTCCAGTGTCAGACCCATCTGGGACTACTTAATCCCGGTGAACGAAGTGTTAATCCTCCCAGACTGGCGAAGTGAGTACATCTATGTGAAAAGAGTAGAATGGAGTAATCAATTCGACAATAGAAGTGTTAATCATCCCAGACCGGCGAAGTGAGTACATCAATTCGACAATCCGCACGCGAAGGGGAACTTGTCCTTGAAGACCGGGAGTTCTTTCCCAAAGAGTGCAGGCAGGCCGTGTGGCAAGCTGGCACAGAGGCCATAATGAAGGGGGTGGAATGGCTCCACGTCGACAAAGGCGATGGCAGTTCAGGAGCCGGACGACTGCGTTGATGGTGACAACGATTACAACTCCGAAGTATTGTCGGAGATTCGGCCCTTTGGGAGAAAGGTCATGACTCGTGAAGCGGTTGTGGGAGTGGGAGAAAGGGTTCCATGGAGAGGAATCGGCGGAACAAGAAAACAGACAGTGACACGCGCGGGAGCGATGGCACGGGTGGAAGAAATTTCTGGTCGGTCGAAGACACTATCGCAGTAGTGCGGGCGAAAAGGGATCAAGATCTGTATTATGCAGGCATGGGGCACAATTTTCGCCGCATGAAGAACATGGAATGGAAGTGAGAGGACATGCGGTCGAGGTTGGAGAAGACAGGCGTGATCAGGAAGGTCGTCGACTGCAGAAAGAAACGGGAGAACTTGATGCAAAAGTTCAAAAAGGTTCACAAGTTTCAACAGCTCTCCGGCAGAAAGGACTACTCCAAGCTTTGCTTCATCAACCAGGAGATCGGAGGGCTTCAACTCCGTCATTGACTGGAGCATGTACGACGAGATGGAGGTGATGATAAAAGGGGATCACACCATCCACGCCAAGACTGTGGCAAACACAAGGGGCTCCGGGGGGCCTCGGATGCCGGCAGGTCCAGGGGCAGGAACGAAATCCATGGGCAGTGAGGGTGGAGGGGAGCCTATGCACGACGAGCACGGGTCGACGAAAGATTCGACATTCAGCACCGGGAGCGCCGACGGTTCCGGGAAACCGTAGAACATGCAACATTAGACCTTTGAGGCCGGCACCGAAGTGATGGACAAACATGGAACGCTCATGGTGTGCACCGTGGACAGCGCTAGCAAGCGGCAGTGCTCGTTGATGTTTCAGCAGTGCAAAATCCTTGACTGAAAAGTGGAACTGCAGAGGAGAGATTATGTTGCAAGCGAATGACGCGAACAAGGTGATGTGGAACGCCCTTTTGGAGATAGAGAAAGTCATTTACGAGAGAGAATAATGTCGCTATTGTGTGTTCGTCGATTTCCCAATTCAGATCCGGAGCCATGCACTGTGGTTGTTGTGCCTTCTTTCTCGCGACGAAACCTTTGTTATCTTGTCTTTCCGTCCACTGTCACTATGACGTTGTCACTGATGCACTTCCTTAGACAATTGCTTGTCGGCACGTTACTAGTGTCTGTCGATTACCAAGAGGGCAGTCAATTTTTTGGAAATCATCGCTGTGAAATTAAGTGTCCAACTTTGTTTTTTTTTTTTTTTGTCTTTCATATTCCTCCACCGGTGGACGGGTGGGGTGCTTCATTGATGTTTTGCGAGCTGCAAACAGAGCCACGAACTACGTGACACCCTCGGCCTAGGACGCGGGCAATTCGGCCGTCGTGACCAAAAACGTCGGCCGCAGCAGCGGCCGCTAGGCCTAGTTTGCGGCCCGATATTTTGGATATTCTTTTGCGGGTTAAAAAATGAGTGAAAAAAAATATATATATACAAGGTTACATGACCGAACGTTCAGGGCCCCTTGGGCTGGCCCCCGAACGTTCGGGCGTTCGGGGTCCCGTTTGGGGGCCGAACACCTCCAGGTTCAGCCCTCGCCAAAATTTCTTTCGGGGCCTAAAAATACGTTTGTTTTTCTGAATTGTTTTTTGTGAGTTCTCTATGATGTAACCTACACGCCTATAAATTTTGAAGCCATTTTGCAAAGCCAAAAAAACATTAAAAATCGTCAAAGATGAGGGTGTCAAAACGTGCTAGCCCACTCACTATTTTTTTTTTTTTCACTTTATCTCGGGAACCTAAACAATTTTATTATTTTTTAAAACAAATTGAATTAGTTATTGATTATGTAAACTACATATCTGTAAATTTTCAGGACATTTGTCAATGCCAAAAAATTATTATAAATCGGCAAAGATGGCGGTGTCGAAAAGGTGCTGGCACACTCACTCATTGTAATTCTCTTTTTATTTTTCCATATTTTTATCATAGCGTTTATTTTCTGTATTTGATTTTTAATTCAAATTTGGTAAAGCATTTGGATGTAGTTACCTGGCAAATGTTGTTAAGTTTATATTGCTCAATAACATATGTTGTTTCCGGAATTTTTTTTTAACTTTTTT